GAAGGTCTACAACTGGGTATGTGTTTACTCTTGGTGGAGGGCCTATATGTTGGAAATCAACAATTCAGTCTATTGTGGCATTATCTACAACTGAAGCAGAGTACATGACAGTAGCTGAAGTTGTTAAAGAAGCCTTATGGCTTGCTAGGCTAGTAAATGAACTGGGCGTTGAGCAAAGTGGAATTCAGTTGCATTGTGATAGTCAGAGTGTTATTTATCTGGCTAAGAACCAGGTGTACCATGCGAGAACCAAGCACATTGATGTCAGGTATCACAAGATCAGAGAGTTGATTGCTTCTGGGGAGATACTATTGCAGAAGGTTCATACTAATGAGAATGCAGCTGATATGTTGACCAAGCCAGTTAGTATCAACAAGTTCTTGCATTGCTTGGACTTGTTGAATGTTTGCAGTTGCTAGAGAAGCATGGTGTCCCAACCCACAATGGTGCAGGTGTAACTCCCAAATATTTTTCTCCTAAGGGGCTGGATATTCGTCAAGGTGGAGATTTGTTATGATATGACTCATATACCATTTAGGGACAGACGCGGACAGACGCTGGATTGAAACGGAGCAGAGCAGAAGAATCTGTCCAAATTAGGAAGTTACGTGGGTTGGGGTGCGGGGGCAAAGCCCCGCGGTATGGTACAGGGGTAATGTTGTAATTACATGTTATGCCTATGTTTACTTCTGAGGTTATAAATAGGCCTGTTAGTAACCCCAGGATGTATCCCTCTATTCTGTAACTTCTTTTCTGAATATTGAAAGGAACTCGCCGCTCTGCTCCCGAGGACGTAGGCATCTTTGCCGAACCTCGTTAAATCTCTGTGTTCTTCTGGATTTGTGTCGATTACTGTTTTTCTTTGCCCTAATTTTCTCAACACCAACAATAATTAGCCTCATCATCTTCATTAACTTTATCCCAACTATTTGGGGTCAGTTTCATGAAGCTTCATTGTTCTTTTTTCTAAGTATTGTTTGAGTTAGAATTAATTCTTTGCGACATATTTTGAACCACCTTTTATTTGATTTTATTTAAGGGATATTCTTCACCATATTAATTTTTCGGACCTAATTTATCATCTTCTCTTACGGGTGCATTATGCATTATACATCATTCTTTGTATATTTTTTTATTTCCAGGTCTTATTCTTATTTGTGAAATTTGCATACATACCACATAATTTCTATTTTTTAACATATGTGACACCTAAACTTTGTTTTTTAACATTTATACCCCCTAAATCTCTATTATCACATAAAAAATACCACCATGTTAACTTTTAAAATGTGGAATACACCTTTTTCATGCATAGGTAAAGTGGTATGCAAGTAAAATTTACAGTTTTGATTAATATGTAAATACATAGGCGTTGAGTGGTATTCATGTAAATATTTCCTCTTATTTACCAATATTTCAATAATTTAGAGCTCTTGATTAAAATGATTGAAAATTTAGAACTAAATTATTGTTTTCCTTATTTGTGAAGGCCTTTGCGAAGAAAACTTTTGCCAACTCCAAGGGTAAGAGGAGGGAGTTGTCACCTCAAGATGCTGCAGTTCTAATTCAGGTGAGGTTTAGAGCTTATTTGGTAAGGCGTTCTCAGATTGTTCGTTGTCTTCGAGAACTGGCTGTAGCAAAAGCGAGGCTGAAGGAGATCAGATCCTTATTTAATAATTTTTCTTATCGACGTCGCATTGCGAGGGACACAGAGGAACAGCAGAGATTTACTGAAAAATTTATCGTCCTTCTCTTAACGGTTGATGCCATTCAGGTATTACGTATCCTAGTCTTTTTATTCATGAATTATTTTTCTCCTTTTCTTTTAGTAATTATTTGGTTTCTTATTATGGAAGTATTGAGAGTTAAGCCATGGATGATTCTGTTCTTGTGATCGGCATGAAATCATTAAATCTATCATTTGATATGTAGTTCCATTACAATTTACTACAAATTTGGTTTATATGGCTTTAATCAAATTAAAAGCTGCTAAATCTTTTGGAACTTTCCCAAAACTTAATATTTTGAGAAAGTAAGTGTTATTTGTTTGGCGTTGGGTTTAGTTAAATATCAATATATCACATAACGGCATATAATTTGTGAAAATGTCAAATAACCTACCCAGACCATCATTTCTATCCATCAATCCTTTATATATATATATATATTATTTTGATATTAACTTGGATATTTTTTTTTTTAAACTTATGTATACATAATCGTGAATTGAAACTAACAAATCTTGCATAATTATCATCCAAAATTATTTATGAATAATAGAAACATACATTATTTTCCATTTAATTTTTTGTGTTTTTTCAATTTTGAAGTGTGTTTAAATGTTTAAACATATGTTGACCAAAAAATGTAAATTGATAAGCTCAAAATTATAATAGTAAAAATATTTTAAGTACTTTCTTATTAATGTATAATATTGTATTATGTATACGCTAATGTATTAGTTTAAATCAAATATTATGCTGCGCTTGGATTTAGTTTTTTTTTTAAAGCCAAATTTAATGATGAAGAACCACATTTTCTAATGTTTAATTGATACACATCAATAATATAAAATAACATGTACTCTTATGTCTTGGTGTAAGGGTCATGCCCCGAGTTTGGAAGATAGTGTCCCGATTCGGCCCGGGACTTGGAATTAATCAAGGCGGATACAAACGGTCGGACGATGTAAATTAAAATTTCAGTGTCCATTTTTATAATTAGTAATTAACAGAATGAAAGAACCATTAATCAAATTAAATTAAAGCGTTAAAATTAAATTTACTTTTTTATTGGTAATCTGCATCTTCTATACATTTTCTTCTATATCACTCATCTTTTAATCAATTAAATCACTTGAAAAGGTAGTCTAAAATAATTGAGCTAAAACAAGTCGGTGAATGCTCATTTTTCTAAACTATAATAATATAATGGAAAAAAATAACATGCATCTCATTTAAACTTTTAATGAATTAATATAAATATTTGACATGTTATTCAATAAATCGTACTATCAATATCATACAAATTTTTTCTTATATTTGTATAACCCTCACACGAGCAGTCTATAATTTGTATCAATTAAGACACATCAATATCAATATCATTTTCCATATACTTGCACATGTACCTTAGCGTTCTATCGTTAGTACTATAAAGTGGTGACTCCATAGTCAATAATGCACATACAAACAATCGCTACAAATCATATTATTTATAATTTCATATCACTCAATATTCGATACTATAATACATTAGATTATAAGCATTCACATCAAAATAATTTATAAAATTTAATAATAAAAAAATGCATTAATTAATTGATTAATCAAGCATAAATAAGAACCCATAAAACTGACTTAGAAGAGGTACCAAAATCATATTATTCATAATTTCATATCACTCAATATGTAATACTATAATACATTAGATTATAAACATTCACATCAAAATAATTGATAAAATATAATAATAGAAAAAAAATGCATTAGTTAATTGATTAATCAAGCACAATTAAGAACCCATAAAACTGACATAGAAGATATACCAAAATCATATTATTCGTAATTTCATATCACTCAATATGTAATACTCTAATACATTAGATTATAAGCATTCACATCGAAATGATTGATAAAATTTAATAATAGAGAAAAATGCATTAATTAATTGATTAATCAAGCATAATTAAGAACCCATAAAACTGACATAGAAGAGATACCATAATCATATTATTCATAAATTTATATCACTCAATATGTAATACTGTAGTACATTAGATTATAAGCATTCACATTGAAATGATTGATAAAACTTATTAATAGAAAAAAATGCATTAATTAATTGATTAATCAAACATAATTAATGACTCATAAAATTGGCTTAGAAGAGATACCAAAATGATACTTTAATTTAAGAATTGTACTCACCTCAATGTCGTTTAATCTGTTAATTTGATTTGTCTTGACATCAGTTCTTCTAGAATTGAAAGCCTAAAATAAACCTAATATAAAATCTAATTATATATATATAACCTGGTATAAGCTTAAAATAAACCTGGTCTCACTAAACCACGCAACTTGGTCTCCTCCTTTGCACGACAACAACACTTGCGAGGATCACTATCTGATATCGCCACGGCCTCTGACTTTGCCTTTTCCTCTCTGCTCACGAGCACGAAGTTGCTGGTTGGACTTCGGTTCCCTCCGGCACAAACGCTTGACGTTGATGCCTCTTCTGCTCATCAGCAATGCCGTCTCTTTTGTTAGGCTCGAGCCTCCCATGCAGGTGAGGTGCACCCTTCCTTTCCTCCTCTCCTCCTCTCTCTTCCTTTCTCTTTTTTTCTCCTTTCTTCTTCTTCTTCATCATCATCATTTGAACTTGCATTGCTTCCTCTTAGTATCGTTTTATAGAACGCAAGTGATTGTTCGATTCATCTCCCTCCTTGAACGGTCTGATCCCTCGCTTCATCCTTTTTATTCAATTTCTCTCCTTTGATCGCCTCCCCCGAACTAAGATGGGGCGTCATAGAGGGATAGAGGATTGTCCTCAACTTTTGAAGTAAAACTCAAAATCAAGCTTAATTATTTCCTATTGAGCTTAATTATGCTCGATAGGTGATAATTAAACTTTTGTACTCAACTGAGAAAAATTTCATATCCAAATAATATGAGTAGAATATGTAAGAGTAGGCGGTGGAAAATAAAAAGTACTTTATTGCATCATTGAATTCTTAATATGAATTTAATATGGAAGCAAAAATGATTACTTGAAAACGAATGGGAGAACATTACATAAGAAAATGCTACACAAAATTTTTGAAAGTATAAATACAATCTATGACATAAACTTAAATGCAAATTACAACATTAGTAGTTTGAAACCTGCTTCTGCATTTATAGTCCGCTAAATGAATTTTATTATTCAGACTCAATAGTTTGTTGTGAGATATATATACCAGTTGATGTAGTATATATATAAATCAAACAGAAGAACGATCGACGCAGCAAATGAAAGCAAAAAATAGAATAAAAAAATTCACACCAGAAAATAGTAACACAGCAGAACACATAGATTTACGTGGTTCGACAAATTGCCTACGTTCATGGAGTTGCAGAGGATTTTACTACTTGATGAATTTACACCAGTCGATCGTCTCGACTTACAAGAGGAATCTCTCACTTCATTGCTCTCTCTTCTTCTCTCTTTGTTTTTCTCTCTCTACACCGAGATATATTGAAGAAATTCTACACCGAGATACGTCGAAGAAGACACTTATAAGAGAAATAAACCCAATTTCTCTTTTGTTACAAGCCAACAAGAAGAGTCAAGGAAAACAATCTTCTTATTCTTTCTTCTTCCTTCACCGCAAGGAATTGCACCTTGCACTTCTCTTCCTCTATCCCGAGGAAGCCCGAAGAACACAAAACGTGATTTCTGAAACTGAAGGAGAGCCGTCCGAAGTCTTTTATCGCGAACAGGAAGGGAGAACGGCTAAGGAGTGGCGGGAGACACAAACGTTAGGCGGGAATGATTCGCGAACGGTAGATTGCGGGAACAGTTCGTGTGGATGGTCGTGACTTCCCACGATCAGGAATAGAGAGGCGGGAGTGGGATCGGACTCCAGCTTAACAAATCTCTCACTTGGCGACCGATACACATACTACGTCTTTTTCCTCAAACTGATATTTTCTACTGATGGCGTCGACTTTTCTTCAAACATGAATCTTCCATCTCTTTAATTCAAAACCTTTGTCTTCACTCCAGAAAACCAACTGAAGCTGCACCCAACTTCAGTTTCTCAAGAGTAACACCCAGAGTCAACATATCAGCAGGGCCCACATAGCCTTGCACCTCCAAGCTATTTTCTAGATTACTCTTGTCTCTGCTTACAACTCTCATTACATGGGCAATATCGTGCTTTTGCTGAAAGCCTTTTCCAACAAGTCTAGCATTGTACCTTTTTCTGTCATCATGTTCAGTCTTCACCTGACACACCTACTTGTTGTGTAATATCTTTTTCCTTGGGGAAATCTGTCAGTTCTCACTTGCTTGAACTTTTATCTTGCAAGATTTACTCATAGCTCTGTGTTTCTCTACTATCTGTCTGTGGAACAATAGGAATGAGTGCCCCGAACCTCTTTCTCCTCTTCTCTTTTATCATCAACAGTACTATGAACTGTCAGCAATAGTGCATCCTGTACTTTTTCAAATATCACATTTGCGCTATTATTATCCATCTTCATAGAATTCCTGCAGTTCCTATTTATGTGGTCAGCTTTGCCATAATTCTAGCAGGTTGCTTGTTGATCAGACTTTGATTTGATCTCCCTCTATTTAAGTTCGTGTCTTGTCATCTCCCTCTGAAATCAACATTCAGTGCCGAACTCGTACCTGAGTTCTCGTCAGAATCTTTCATGCGCACCTCCTCAGCCAAAATCAAATGATGAATATCATCAAATTTCATTTTAGATTTACCTGCAAAACTGCTAACAACCATCCTCATGGCTTCTAGACTATTTGACAATGATGCCAACAATATCAGCCCACGTATCTTATCATCAAATTCAATTTTAACAGATGACAATTGATTTGTGATAGTATTGAAATCATTCAGGTGTTGAGCAATAGAAACACTTTTCACCATCTTCAAGTTGAATAACTTTTTTATCAAGCACACATAGTTATTCGCCAATGGCTTTTCTTACATACCTGATAAGGCTGCCATGAGATCAACAGTCGTTTTCTCATTGACGACGTTATGTGCAACAGGTCTAGATTGGGTCAATCGAATAACCTCAAAACTTGTTGATCCAATAAATTTCATTCATTCTCATCCATCCTTTCAAGTCTTTTCCTCAATAACAGAAGATAAAGTTTATTCCCATAGAGGTAGTCTTCTATCTGCATTCTCCAATAACTAAAATCTGTGCCATCAAACTTCTCGATCTCTGAAACCCTCACTTCATCTGCAACCATCATTCTTCCTTAGATCTGAACAAAGCTCTTATACCGGTTGTTGTGAGCTGTATACCAATTAATGTGATATATATATATATATATATAAATCAAACAAGAGAACGATCGACGAAGCAAAAAATAGAACGAGAAAATTTCACACTAGAAAACAGTAACACAGCGGAACCGGAACACACAGATTTATGTGGTTCAGCAAATTGCCTATATCCACAGAGTTGCAGAAGATTTACAACTTGAGGAATTTACTCCTGTTGATCGTCTCAACTTAGAAGATGAATCTTTCACTTCGTTGTTCTCTCCTCTCTCTGTTTTTCTCTCTACATCGAGATATGCCGAAGAAACTCTACACCGAGATACACCGAATAAAACAAACTTACAGGAGAAATAAACTCAAATTCTCTTCAGTCACAAGCCACCAAGAAGAAGTCAAGAGAGAATAATCTTCTTCTTCTTCTTTCTTCTCTCTTCTTTCTTCACCGAAAGGAACTACACCTTGCACTTCTCTTCCTCTATCCCGAGGAAGCCCGAAGAAGAACACAAAACGTGACTACCGAAACTGAAGGAGAGCCGTCCAAAGCCTTTTATTGCGAATAGGAAGGGAGAACGGCTAGGGAGTGGCGGGAGACGCGAACGTTAGGCGGGATGCTCGCGACGATTCGCGAACAGAGGATCGCGGGAACAGCTCACTTTGAAGGTCGCTACTTCCCATGATTGGGAACAGGGAGGCGGGAGCGGGCTCCAGCTTAACATAAATAACCTTTATTTTTTTAAAGCATAAACGGTATATATTAGGTATGTTTTATGAATAGTAAAGGAAGCAGTTTATTTTGTGTGTAATCAAATTATCTGTTTAATTTAATATTACATGATATGAAGAGAACATCATCTCATGTTTTAAATTAATTGGTTATAGTTGAGTTCAAAAAACTAAAAGATAATGGTTGAAACCTTGACACTAATTGTATTTGATTTTGGAAGATCATTTCACCAAAATTTATCCAATTCCTATGTATGATATCTAACACCAAAATTTTACGTTTTACATTTATAACACCCAAATCTTTCTTATCACATTAAAGGTACACATTTTAACCTTTAAAAAGTGAAATACCCTTTGTCATGTTTAGATAAGGTGGCATAGTATGTAAAAATTGAAGTTCAGGTGTTTGATATGCAAATACATAGAAATTAACTAGTATTTATGTAAAGCTTCTTATGTTTTATCAGCCCCTTATTGTTTATCCAGAAAAAGGAAATTTACGTTCACTTGTCAGTTATTTGATTCTCAGATCACAAAAATTTCTTTAAAGAAATGTTGCAACAAAATCAATGAACAATATTCAATTATAATTGATCTTGTTTGTGTTAGAGAGCCTAACTTTCACCAATTCCTCTTCATGTCTTCATCTTTAATCACCCACCATGTTGCAGCTTTTGGAAGGTTTTACTCAAATAATCTTTTGGGACATTTACATACCTACCACACCATCCTTATGTATTTACATATCTAACATCTAAATTTTAGTATTTACACTTACACCACTCATAACTTTAACTTCATATTAAAAAGACTATTTTTAGCAAATTATAACACTCAATTGCTCCTTTTTATGCATAGGTATATAGCATAAAGATGTTATAAATGTAAATCAAACTTAAATTCACAATAATTGTGTGGTAGGCATGTAAACTTCTCTAGTCATTTTTACTATATCAGGGAATTGATTACATGATTCGTGCCGCAAAGAAGTCGATTATCGACGAACTGGAGATAATGCTCGAGGTTGTGGACCCACAGACTGCGACCGGAAAGCTTGGTTCACTCAGACGAAGGAAATTCGACCTGCCGGAAGGTCAATTCATTCCAAGGGAAATGGCGAGGAGTGTAGCTCAGGTGGTGGAGCTGATAGATGAACGTGATGATGATGCGGAAGCAGGTGTTGCTTCTGCTTAGTCAATAATTTCAGCTGGTAGGAATATTTCTTGAGTTGCATCTGTTAAGGCTTTTTTATGTTGGAATTCCAAGTTAACAAGAGACAAATTGCTTTGTTTTCTTTTATGTTTTAAGATTGCAGACCACGTACTCTTTCTGCAAGACCATGGGTTTTGGTTTTTCAGTCTCTTTAGAGTTATATAATATAGCTTTTATATATTGCCTATTCCAATCAAAATAAGTCATTATAAAAATTCTCTATTTTCTCACAGCTGAGACAGTAGGATTATAACTTCACACTACACAAGATACAACACTTCTACGTATATATTGTATAGACAAATTTAGGTGTCTTTAAAGAATTGTTGTATTTTGAATACGCCAATCGTAAATAGTTGCTGGAAGTTTATTACTGGATTTTCAATACATTGTTATATTTTATGACTGTATTTTAAATACGACGTTAGCAAGCAAGGACTATAGATGGTGACGAGTAGGAGTGGTACGTGGTGGCTGACAGCAGCTAACATGCGGTGATTGAAGCTGGTCTGAGATTATCGTCGGGTTTTTAGTATGATATTGCATGTTATAACCATATTTTTGATACTTAATTGGCAAGGAAGGGTTGCCGACAATGGCGGGTAGGAATGGTCTTCTGTAGTCAACAACAATTGGTGGGTGGCGGGTGGTGGTCGGCTATTATGAATGTCGAAAGTTATTGATATGCTTAAAGTGTCGTGAAACACAGACGGCCAATGCAAGTGTACGTGATGTATCAATAGTGTACGGAATGGAGTAAGTGTGTCGATTCCATAGAGAACAAGATGAATCCGAATAGGAAAATTTCTAGCATGCAATTGTCATATAGTGACTATCATAATATAATTTGTCCTAAGTTATCATGTTCTTAAGATCTTATGTTATCAACAAAGAAATTTTGGAGTTTTCTAAGTACTTAAGAAATTTTTCCTTGGAATGGTTCAATATGACTTTGTTTGTGAAACTAAGATAAAAATCCTAATGTCAAGCGAGAGCACAACTCTTCCTTGCCCTATTTCAGTAGTTTAAGGAAGTTTGGCTAGAAATTAGATTTAGTTCCCTAAATCCAATTTCTAACAATCACTTATTTCTCCCATGAAATTTGCATTACCCTGAAGGATACATTCTCATTCCTTTGGGTTAATGTGATTAAATTAATCGATTCTATTATGATGTTTTCGGAGATTCATGATTCACGACTAGTATTAACAAAATAATTGGCCAAAATGAAATGTAAAGAAGTTCAGAAAGATAATCATCATCAATTAATATTATGCACAAAACCATACAAAATCATTCACAAACATCAATCCTATTTCCCTATCCCAAGGGAGAATGAGAACTACTCACTACTTGTGCTTGTACACATCAACATATTCATTTGGTTGATAAAAGAATTCAGGTACAAAAGTCATGAATGGTAGGATGATATAAAACCACACAAGTAAGAACTCCAGAAAATTTATCTCCCTTCCTTCACACTTGATGAAATTACAAGTATAAGTTTCACAAATTCTCTCAAATCTCACTTCTCTTCACACTTGATTGATCTTCTTTTGTATTCTCTTTTAAAGTTCCACCCTTTTAGAATGTCAGAAAAGTTAGAAGAAGGCCCCCAAAATTCGTTTTCAACGCTTAATTACTTCCACGAACAAATCGAAGCATTTAATCGCTGAAACTGTTAGTTTTCACATTCTCGAGCCTAGGCACCCATGGTTGGCGCTAGGGCATCGTAATTCTGCATAACTCACAGTGCCTATAGCGCCAAGGCGCTACCTTTGTAGCACCAAGATGTCAGACCCTCGGGAAAATAGGCTCTAAATCCATCAATTCGAGCGCCACGCCCGAGGAAAACTCCAAGGCACCCAAGCTCCAACACCTCAGCGCCCCATTCATGTATTGCTCTGTTTTGATTCAAAGTTGAGCTGGATCTAGTGCCTAGGCGCCCAGTTGTGTGCCTATGTGCCAGAACACCAAGCTGCTCTATTTGTCTTGTTTTGAATTCTGATTGCTCTTTTCACCTGTTTCTTCCATTTCAAAATAAAATACCTTCAAAAAACATAACATAAACATACAAAAAGACATAATTAAGATGATAAATAAGCACGTTATATTTACATGTCAAAATTCAATTAAATTTTAATATTACTTGTCCTCAAGTAACTAAAAACTTTAAAATTTGACATAGTAGAAAAACATTAGAGAAGTGGGTTCTCATTAGTGACCGGCAACAATTAGAATTTCAAAGATACATATGCTAGTGAACTGATATTTTTATCGAGTTATTCTTTCAAATTGTTCCTTGAAGCACTGATCTCAAAAAATTATCTTAATCCAAATAATCATTCCAAGATACCTAGTAGAAGCTTAGTTTATACGAGTGAAGATGTCAAATATTAAAAGCTTAGCCATCTATTAATTCTAATTGACATGTTATTAATCCGTAGGCATAAAAATTGAATCGAGTTTATAAATGTCACAACATTTTTAATTTTAAGGGAAGATAGTGAAACCAATTTTATTTAGGCTACTCGTCAAGCTTCTCCTTGAAGGTTCTTTTATAGATTCATACATTTACTATATGTGGGTTATCTCTTTATGATTTTGATTTCCACTAGGATATTCATAAACTAAAATTTCTTAACATCTTTTTCTCATTCAAGATTTATGACAAATAAATTGCTAACATAAAACTCTAATTAAGTAGAGGCTAAATTTTAAGAGATGTCAATCTAGTTGCAATTAACTAAACAAATCATCCCAAAATTGAATGTGAAGATTAGATCGACTTTTGTTCAATATCAAAGTTCAATTTTCACCGAATTCAGTTTACCTTAATAGAATCACATGTCGCCTATTTATGTAAATTTTGCATTGTGTTTTGGTCCCAAAATCATCTCCACTTTAAGAAAGTAAAAGAAAATCAAACTTTTAAAATTTATTTACATTTAAGGGCACATAACTTTAAGTAACACAACTTCCCCCCAAACTTATCACATACAATAGAATAAAGGAAATATGAAGTATATCACAGGTGTATATAAAACATGTAGAAAATAACACAACATCATCACATTAACTTTTAATAAAGTAGAGTTATCCCATATTAATAACATCAATCTCATAAAAGTCCCAATGCAGAATGAAAATTAACAAAACAATTAAAGTTCCAAGTAGCATCACGTAAATCCAAATGCACCAAAGAAACAAGAAGAGTGAGCAAAGTCAAAGTAGTCAAGATCACCAAAGAAGCATCAAAATCAATCATCCCAACACCCCCCTCTCTTTTCGACTCTATCGGGCTGCGAGTGTTTTCATAAAGCATGTAAGGTGCATTAGTAGGTAACACCAGTGGGTTAGGTCCTCCAAACCACAGGTTTCTCTGGTACATCTCCACATGAGCTGCATGGAAATATGCAATATAGTCGAACCAACCTTTGTTCCACAACTCCATATGATGACAATGATTCACCAAACCATACACTTACGAGTAGATGATGGAAGTATCTTTGATCAGGGTATCCAAACATGCTGACATAGACACAGTAGTAGAGGAGGGGTGAGATCTAGAAGATGAGGAAGGTTGAGAAGAACTCTCTCCTCTCTCGAATGAAGTATGCTTATAAACCACTATACTTTTCTTTCCCATCTCCTTAATAGGAGGCATAAATTTCTCCCAACTCTCATATTTTATCTAGCCTTAACACAAAGTGCAAAGATGGTGGATGGATGTCCCATACCAATTATGGATACTAATTTCATCATTTTTTTATTGAATGGTTTATAATTTTCCCATCATAAATAGTGTTTTTTTCCCTAAATGCAAAAGTTGAGGACAACACACTCACGGGTTACTTCGCTCAAATTAGTGGAGGGGCAGAGTATGGTAGAGATGAAATAACGCCAAGCTTTTGACTCGACATTCAGGGCAATGGAAGGGAAATTGATTTTCTTATTATATCTAATCTTCCATACCTTTCTCTTGTCGGTCAGAAAACCAATAATTTCATCTAATTTCTGGTTATTGGGCCTAAAGTTGGAGTAGAAGGTATTTGAATTATCGAGTATAACATATATAACATTAATCTGCTCCACTGACATGTCCATCTTCTTCACTGTGATAAAGAATTTATTAAATATGGATTCTTTAGAGTGGTAGAGCAGTCTCTAATCACCAGAATAACCACCATGCCTGTCTTAAAACAAAAGTTCTCCCAATCTCTCTGGTCGTTTACCCCTCCTACCCTATCCCAGGTTGAACAAAACCACACTCAATAATTAAAAGTCTCTAATCACCAGAATAACCACCATGCGTGTCTTAAAACAAAAGTTCTCCCAATCTCCCTGGTCGTTTACCCCTCCTACCTTATCCCAGGTTGAACAAAACCACACTCAATAATTAACTTCCTTGAAATAAGTAATTCATTGTAATGTACTTCTGCTTGTGCAATTAAGAATTTCTTGTTGTCAAAGGAAGTACGAGCTTTAAGACCTCCCTTAGTCTTAGAAGCCATGTCAAACAAAAATGATGAAGGTAAAAGGAATGCAATCAAAGATCTTAACAGATTGTAAGGAAACTGGTCCCGAATTTTTAGATAGATTTCAAATGCGATGTATGTGATTATATGCTTGATTTTCTTAATAGTTATTCTTAATTTGCAACAAAGCAAAAAACATGATCCAAAGCAAAACTAGGTAAGTTTTCCACTATGAAACAAATAGGAAAATAATTATAATATTTAAATATGAGATACTACGCAAGTATACATATCATTGTCAAGTAATATAAGACTTTTTGATTAAGCCCCAAATATCGAACCCATAGGGAAAACTGACAATATGCACTATATAAAACTAGAAAGTTTAGATAACAAAAATCTACTTAGCAAAATATTCTTACTTATACTTTAGATGCTATAATAGGAATGAAAATTCTATTTTTTTTTGTAATTTTTGATTTATGAAAATAAAGTAAGCAACTAAATAACTTAACTAAATATTTGCAAGATGAAGACAATATAAGTAAAATATTTTTTTTCTTATCATGAATCTGTAATAATAAAAATTCTGTTGTGGAAGTATGCTAAATGTGCTCTGCCAAATAGGAGCAATAATATTTTTTA